CTCTCTCTCTCTCTCTCTCTCTCTCTCTCTGTGCAACGGGCAGCAGCGGCGGGCGGCACGTTGAAACGGCCGCTTTGAAATTGCTCGGGCCTGTGTGAAACCGGCCACCCCAGAAACCTGCAGTGTCTTGTGTCCTGAGCTCTAGGCCCTGTCCGGTGGGGTGAAACGACACTGAAAAATCGCCCCATTATTTTTCAAGGAGCGGCCAGGACCCGAAAAACGGCTTGGGCCGCCCCTTTATTTTTATTTTTTTTTGCCCTGGGGGCCTCCATCCAGACGTAAGGACCGGACACTGGACATGTTGTTCCGGACTGTCTGGAACCCGGTCCGGACGTCCGGCCGGTTACCATGATTTCATGCGTCTCAGCATCAATGTCCCAATACCAGATTCGAAGTCCCAGTGTCTCATGTACCATCGTACCTGTTGGATATGTAGGGTGGTTAGGTTGAGTCCCCTAGCTCCTGTAGGCCCCAGTAGGTGTGCAGGTCCAGTCAGTCACGGCGGCAGCTCAGCCCCACGAAAGTCAGAGAAACTCCCGGACAACCGCAGTCAGCAACGGCTGGTTCTTGTGCGGAAAAGTCTAAGATTGGGAACTGCAGCGAAGTACAACAGTCCAGAGGCAGGAGGGTATTATCGGAATTTCCATTTCAGCTTGCTGTGAAAGCGCTGTAGTGGTCTTGTGCTGCCAAGCACCGAGTGAGGTTGAGGGGAAGTTCTAGATCGTAGAGAGTAAGTCAACAGCACTGACCACATAACTTAGCTCGAGGGACAGGGACATCTGTCAGAGAGGAAGATGTTCAGAGGGAGGTTGAGGCCAAAGGGTAGCATAGAGAGTGAGAGAAAGATGTACCTGTGTGAGGTTGCTTGGCGACCATAGCCGGCCAATCTGCATTACCGTGCGCTGATTGAGCGTGGGGTGGAGCTCAAGTTTTTAGCTACGCTCCATCCCGCACTCAAAAGCACTTGAGCGAAGTTTCAGCGGCCGCGGGAATATTTTTTTTCCCGGAAAAGAATAAGCAAAATAAAAAATATAGGGTTGTAGATAATTTTTTAGATCTACAACCGTATGTTTTTTTATTTATTTTTTTAAATTTTTCTATATTTTAAAAAAATCACAAAAATGAAAGAAAAAGACAAACAAAAAAAAAGTATAAAATGCCAAAATGGGTGTTTTTTTGAACTTTTTTTGTTTCTTCACAGAGATATTTTTGTGGGGGCAAACAAAAAGCAAAGATAATAATAAAAAATATAGGCTTGTAAATCTTTTGGAGATCTTTGACCCCATATTTTTTATTGTTTTTTTTTAAGTTCGTATGTTTTTTTTTTAAAATAAAAAACATGAAAACAAGAAAAAAAAGACATGCACAGTTCGTATGTTTCAACACACCCGCACGCACACACACACACACAACCTCCTGATGAGTCGGTGAAAGTCTGATGAAACATTCTGGCAGAGTCTTGCTGTTTTTTTAATGTATAGTGAATATGACAACACACACAACACACAAACACACAAACACACAAACACACAAACACAAACACATGTGCACACACACACATGAACACACACACACATGAACACACACACACACACACACACACAGACACGCGCATTCTATTTGACGATATATATGTATAAATAGAGAGAGCCACCACCTGCCCCACGTGGGTCCCAACCCCCCCCAACCTCAGCCACAAAATCCCCAAAACAACCCTTGGACACCCTCCAACGGCCACCCAACCCCCACAATTTTTTTATTTTTTTTCATCGCAGCCCCCGCCACATATTCCCCTCCATGTGCGGGTCCCCTCCATGCACTCGTCCGAAATGGGATTGAGCGCTTTTGAGCGCGTGCTTAAGCTCATGCTCGCGTGCTTAAGCTTGTGCTTGCGCGCTTGAGCGCGCTCAAACGGTTTCATAGCGGCCGATGTGTACACGTAAGAGTTATTTGTAATAGACTGGCATTTCCAAACAATTTCTGAAGTTGAAAGGATTCACAAGTCGCATAGCCCTGGCCTAGTATCAAGTCCCATTTTCCCTTTGTACATAGTCCCGCCAGGAGGCCCCCTTGTAGAAACCCCTGCAGGAAATCCCATTTTTTCCCTTTGTACATAGTCCCGCCAGGAGGCCCCTTTGTACCAAGTCCTGCCAGGAGGCCCCCTTTGTGTACGGCCTGTAGACACTAGTAGGAAGAGCCTCAGGACCTGTAGATGCCTGTTGGGGTTAGTAGGATCAGAAGTTAGATATCACCGACATGTCTGTTTCGTGTTTCGGGTTGGTGCTGGCCGAGGAAGACGATCAGAAAGTACTATTCAGCGACGCCCGGCGCCGTAGTCAGCAGGAGAGAGTTCAGAAGAAATTCGGGGAGGGACAGTGGGACCTAGAGTAGAAACGAGAGAGAGAGAGAGAGAGAGAGAGAGAGAGAGAGAGAGAGAGAGAGAGAGAGAGAGAGAGGGAGGGAGGGACATGCCTGCTTATGTTACTTCTGATGGCGGCCATAGGCGCTGAAGGAGAAGCCACCTGTTGTATCTACCGTTGTGTTTGTAAGTTCCACGTGTGTTCATCTGGTGTGAATTGCTTTGTGTGTTGATGTACATGTGCCTTGTCGAGTAAAGCAGGTATGGAAAGCTTGAATAATTCCTGAGTATTCTCATCTCGTGTTCATTTGCATCTCTTGGTTGGAGCTCTGTCTGACGAAGTGTGGACTTGTTGTCGTGTGAGAAGTTGTGTGAATTCGTAGGCTCATTGTACTAACAAAAATAGGAATATTTGCCTTTTGGATCAGTGGTGGTACCAGGGTTGCATACCTGCCGACAGTGGACCCCGACCGCCGACCGTTGTGCAGCCGACGAGTAGGGTCGACCGGTCGGCAGTCTGCCAACCAGTCAGAAACAGCCATCCACAGTATTTTTTCAAATTTGAGTTGGGGGCTTTACTGTGCT